AAAAAAAAAAAAAAAAAAGAGAACTGAATGATGACTCTCCCAGTGAGTGGGATGGGCTCAAGGCAAAAACAGTTCCTTCTCCACCTGCCACAGCCCATAGGCTAGATCAGGGAGCAGGAACCCTGACAGCCACTTCCTTCAGCACCCTAGGACACCTGCCCCATGGGGGGGGGGCGTGGCTCTACTCCAACTTTAGTGGGGTAAAAGGCTATAGGTCTACGGTTCAGAAGTGGACTAGTGCTCCAGCCCAGTCTGGCACTGGGAAGGGATGGGAAATGGCATTTACTCGGAGTGGCTGAGCCTCCATGGTGACAGCACTGCTAAAGTCCAGGCTGAGAGGACTGATCTCACCCTACAGACAAGAAGCCAAAGCAGACTCACAGCTGAGATCCAAATGTTATCTGGCCAGGCAGCACCCGCAGATTAGACCTACGCAGAGGATCTCGGCCCAGCTCAGCCATTCCCTGGTGGGGAGGCCTCAGACATCAGTCCTAACCCTTCCTAGCTTCATCTTCCACCACTCTGTACTGGGAATTTGATCCTATCAGGCAGGGGATCAGGAACAGAAAGTGACAAAGCCATGACAGGTCACATGCTGTCTTCAGATTTGGTGACGCTCCACATATGAGCCCCACAGGTATGCTTGGAAGGGAGCAGGAGAGGGAACCCCAAGCAGAAGGATTGACCAATGCCCAGTCTCAGGATGCACCTTTACCCTGAGTGAATGCTTGTATCAAATGCAGTTTCCAGGGCTGAGCTCTACTGAATGGAGGAGGGCCCAACATTTGAATTTTTTTTGTCAGTATTTGAATTTTTTTTTTTTTTTTTGGTACCAGGGATCGAACTCGGGTCCTCGCGCTTCCACAGCAGGCAGCGAAACCACTGAGCTAAATCCCCGGCCCCAGTATTTGAATGAGGACAGTCACCACAAAAAAACATAGGATGTTCTGATGAATATGAATTTCTTTTTTGGACCGGGGATCAAACTTGGGACCTTGCACTTGCAAAGCAGGTGGTGGAACCACTGAGCTAAATCCCCGGCTCAAGATATATTTATGAATAAAAAGTATTTGTTAGGGTGGGCCTGGTGACACACATCTGTAATCCCAGCACTGAGGAGGGTGTGACAGAGATGATCCGGAGTTCCAGGACACCTTAGAATACAAGGTAGGTTCAAGGCCACCCTGGACTATGCAGAAAGACACTGTTTGAAAACATTAAAAAAAAAAAAATGGTTGTTTAAATGGAACATTTGTGTGTGTGTGGTATTGAGATGAATCCCAGGGCCACCTTCACGCTAAGCTACATCCCCTTTTCATTTTATTTTATTTTTTGGTACCGGCCATCAAACTCAGGACCTTGTGCTTGGTAGGCAGACGTGGTGTCACTGAGCTACATCCCTGGCTCCCCTTTTCATGTTGAGACTGGGTCTCCCCACATATCCCAGGCTGGTCTCAAACTCTCAACTCTTCTGCTTCAGCCTCCCAGACTGCAGGGATTACAGACGTGCACTACCATGGTTGGCCAGAACTGGAATTTGACGGAGCACCTTGCTCATTTGCTAAATTGCCCCCATACAACTGGGCTTTCAATACACACGGAGACCCTGGACTCTCTGGGGTGTGCTGTGGATGAGATCCAAAGCCACCTTATGAAAAGCCCTCGAAGGGCTGCATGCGGTGACACATACCTGTAGCTCGAGCTTAACCCAAGGTACTTGGAAGGTTGAGGCAGGAGGATCACAAGTTCGAGGGCAGCCCGAGCAATTAAATGCCTCACTGCTCTTCAAAATTAAAAGAACTGAGGATGTAACTAAATGGTTGAGCACTTGCCCAGTATGAACGTGGCCCTGGTATCAGTACCTAGGACTGCAAAAAAAAAAAAAAGGCCTTGAAAATTCACATTTCCAATTTTAACTATCAGCAATGATGATCAATTTATAGGTTTACTAAAGAATTGGGGGGACCTCAAAGAAATTTCGAGATGGAGAAAGGGACATCACGGACAGCAGCCCGAAGGAAGGGGACTGGCTGCGAGGACCCAGCGACTGGGCACACCGGAAACAGCTGGGGTGCACAAAATCTCCAGAGGGCCCGCTTAAGTAGATAGGCGCTTGGCCGCGAGAGGGTCCTAAGACTCTAAGCGCACGCGCATTAAGGCTGCCAGCGCGCGACCCGCGCACGCGCATGCCTACACGCCCGCCCGCAAACCTGACCAAGACAACCCCTTCAGCCCTTAAATGGCCCCTTTCACCAGTCACCGCCCAGACCCCCGTCGCCAGACCTGTTCCCAGTCCGCGAAGGCTGGGCTGCGAAAACCTGAGTTTCCGGGAGACTGCTCACCTAGAGAGACTCGCGTGAGCGTAGCGCTTCACGAAGACCTAACAACCGGCCCGCCCCACCTGGTGCCGCACAGCATGACGGGAACGTAGTACTGTGGGCGGGGCCTACTTGAGCCCCAGGCAGGGCGGGAACTACAATTCCCAAAGGCTATGCGCGGACCCTGGCTCCGCCCCTCTCCGGACCGGCACCCAAGTGACCTGGGTGGAGGTAAGGGTCGAGCCCTGCAGTGACCCAGCAGTGGGAGGTGCAGGTTTATAAACCAGCCCGCGGCCGGGGAAAACCCGGAACCTAGAGGCCCTTTGGGAAACCAGCAGAATGGAGAAACTGAGGGGAGAGGGCGCAACAGCTATCTGCAGTCACTGTAAGAGCCCCATCCCCAGGGCCGGGGATTTAGCTCAGTGTTTCCGGCGCCTACCTCGCAAGCGGAGTTAGACACCCTCTCCCCAGCAAAAAAAAAAAAAAAAAAAAAAGTAATCAAAAGAGCCCCATCGCATCCCTATTTACATCCGTGGGGCGAGATTGCATCAGAGGCGAATACGGTCCGGAGCTTGGGACCACCACAGGCCTCAGTTTCCCCATCTCTCCGTTAGGGGAAAGGGTCCCTCTTGACCGCTGGCCCAGACAGGCACATTTTATGTGCAAGACCAGTGAATATGTCCACCCCCTGTGGGTGTGATTTGTCACTGCCACACACATTTGGCAATTCTTGGGGACTTTTTTTTTGTGATGGGATGGCGTGCCTTGGAATCCACAACCATTTCTAGGTTTCTTTTAAAATTTTGAGACAGGATCTAGCTATGGGCTCGCACTTGTGATCCTCCTGCCTCACCCTCCCAGAGTCTTGGGATGACAGGTGTGCACCACTACGCCCAGCTGAGAGCCAAGCTTTTTTTTTTTTTTGGTACCAGGGATCGAACTCGGGTCCTTGCGCTTGCGCAGCAGGT